ACTTCTTGAGGAAGTGATAGATTCCTCTTGACTTGAATTATCTGAGAGGAACTGTTGATAAAATCCTGCACATCTGTGACCCAGGAGATCTAGTACAGACAACTATAGAGAACTGAAAACCCACAAGCCTGGGAATTATTCTGCATTACCTGACAAAAGACACCCATAGGAAAACTATTTTTAGCTTTCCTTTCACCAGTTCTGTTTAACAATAAAATCCAATTCTCAGGCTGTTTTTGAAAATCTTGCCTAATACATTTCCATAGTGCCTGTCACCTGCCATGTGACCTGCCACCTGTGTTTTACAGATAGTGCCTACTCACCAAGGGACAAAACCACTTTTACACTGAGTTAGGAAGAGCCACTCTTGCTCAGGGTCACCCAGACACCACCTCAATGGTCAGTGAGAGAACCCCAAATTTTTGATTCCCAAACTCTTGCACCTTTGTACGAGTAGATCTATAACAACACCACCTCATCATTCCTGACACAAACCAAAACTGGGCTCATGCTTCCAGACCTGTTTCTGGCAGTCAGTGCAGCCCCATTTTCAACATTTGAAGCAGTGATAAGCGTTTAGCCACATCCAGCTTGGCAAAGCCCCATGTCACTCCCTACATGACTCTCCCACTCTGGCTGCAGCCACATGGGTCCAGTAAGATGCAGAGATCACACTGTGCCACTGAGCTCAACTGATCCACCAGGAACCTACATTAATCAGGAATTAGATCAGGAATTGCCTACATCATGTTTGCTGCAGGGAGATCAGAGAGATGAAAGATCAGAAAGAAGAAAAACCCAATCGGTTTACTTGCTATATAAAGCTTACAGTGGATTACAAAGGAATTTCCCGAGGCTCTCAGATATGCTATTCACTTGCTTACACATGTGCATGATTCTGAACAACCATAGTTCAATTTCACCAATATTTTGGTAATAGAAGAAATATAATTACATATAAATAAAAGCTGAGAGTAAGGTTTTATTTGCATTGCAATGTTGACTGTATCAGGAGGGTGCTTTTACTCACTGCTGATGGCACAGGAATTTGAGAATAGGCTCAGACTTGCACCTACCCACAAAAGGGACTCACTAGAGTAGGCTGAGAACAAAACTTGAGAAGTCTAATCTAAAGCCTGAGATCACTCTGCCTGACCAGAAAGCAAACAGCAAAATTTAAGTCTCACATTGCTGTGGAATTCAGGCAAATCTCCTGGGATACACCGTACTCGCAAGACAGAGCTGTTTCCTCTTCTGTCTGATGAAACATTCCATCATGTTCTAGATGCTATTTAAAAAAATTATCAAAGGCAGGGGTGGAAATTTTCAGTTCATCTCCACCCATCCCATTCTGGAAGCACCCAAAAGAGAATCACTTATTCTAAAAGTGACTAAGACATGAGTCATCTGATGAGTAAGCACATTGGCTCTGGAAATCTTATTCACTCTATGACCATATCCAAGTCATTTCATTACCTAAATCATTTATCCATTTTATACATTAATGCAGTAGCACTCCAAGGCCAGGAAGAAGCTCTTGTTTCCAGCACCAGGGTAACTGCAGCTTATCTTGTCCTGCTATGATAGACAGAGCACTGGCAGGAAATGCTGTGCTGAAACAGCAGAGCAAAACCTCATGGCAACTCTGCATTATACAGGGCTCTGAAAGTCAGCTTTGGAGGTGCCCCCAGCCTCAGCCAACACTTGAGTGAAGCTGTACTGGCACCAGCCACTTGTGCAGCTCAGCATCCCTGCAAAGGCAAACACAAGCCCTGCTCCTGGCAGCAGGATGCCAGCAGGGCTCAGTGCAGGCAGTGCCAGGACTGCAGCCAAGCACTTACCACGTCCTCCTGTTACTATCCCAAAAGCTCTCATATGAAGCTGCAAAAGCATTAAGTCAAACCACTAATGAGGCTTAAATATCTCTCCATTCTGGAGGAACATGAGCATCTCACAAAGCAAATTCGTTCATCTTCACAAACGACCTGTGGGATATGATCATGGGCAGGGAACTATGCAGAGGAGAAGATTTAATCCCCCCAGAATCTTTCTTAACAGACCCCAACAGATACCTTGATGCCTTTGAAATGCTAGCTTAAGATCCAACAGGAGATCTGTGGCTGATGTTCCCCTGCCCTCTTCCTAAAATCCTGGTGAGCACATGAGTGAGCAGGTCTGGTGTGTCCTTGGGAGGCCCCTCTCACCTCAGCCCCAAGCACAGCAGCAGTGATGCACCCAGCAAACAGCCTGGGCATCCCCTGACATGATGAATCTGTTCAGCCTGTTTTACAGCCCACTGCACAACCTTTCTTCAGGGCAGCTGATTTCTCTGTGTTCCATCAGTACAGCACAAAAAGTACATTTGTAAGTGGAGTAACTTCAAAGGACTAATTTAAGTTGTTCTGCGCTATTCCACTGGTATCACACTATGATCACTGTCTTGATATTGCATTTCCACAGCTTTAGGTTTTCTGAGTCTTTCAGCAGACTCACAGGAGGACACAGCCAGGGTTTTCACCCTGGCCCTGTGAGCATCTGCCTTTACATAAACAACAGTAAAAGAATAGAGATTTCTCACCAGGGGTTGAATTTGCAATTTGCCTCTGCTGGACTATATATGAACAATTGCCACTTAATTCAGATAAACCTGAAGCCAATTAGGGAAACAATGCTGCTGTGCTTACATGATCCACAGCCACTCTGAAAGGGACAAAAATTTAACTCCTATGGAAAAGATCAAAACAAAAACCCATATCCATTGTTAAACAGATTAATCAGACTCTTGGAGACCTCATGAGGGATTGGGTTCAATCTCTGCAGCTGTTATTAGCATAAGCCCTGTACAGCAGTAACAAAAGACCTGCCTAAGTCCCACGCTCCTGTTTACTTTGCGATGAGACTCTGCTCGGGCTCACAGCATTTAACATACACACTCTTTATTAAAGGGACAGGAGAAGAGGAAGGAGCTGGCTGAAGTTTATACTGCAGCAAAACAAAACCCTTAATGACCCTTTTTATAAGGGTAGGACTACCATTATGGAAGAAAACAGAGCCCCAGTGCCAGCAACACCTTTCCTCATCCAGCAGAGTCTGGGCACAACGCTGTGCAGGGCAGGGCCCAGGTACAGCAAGAGCCAGTCCTTTCCCAGGGAGATGAAGGCAGACAGGGACAGAGGGGAGCCAGGGATGAGCATGTGCAAAGTAAGGAAAAGCACACTGTGCTGGCTGGAGCGAGCCTGGAACGGATGGAGCATCATCCAGCTCTGGGCTGGGGAGGCCAGGCACAGCCACAGATGGAGCTAGGGCAGGAAGACTCCTTCCTGCTCACCTGCAGCAAAGGCACAGCCAAGGGAAAGGAGCACAGCACAACTCCAGAGTGGTTCCCCACGGCTGCAGGGACAGGATGGGCCCCTCGCGTGCCACCGGGAGAGGCTGCAGGCACGTGCTGTGGGAAATGGGCTGATGGCATCCAGAGTGAGATGTGTCTGCAGGAGATCTGGCAGGTAAATGGAGCAGGGGAATGAGATCCTGCTGAGAAACAGCCTCCTGCACCCCTCGTTGGGCGTCAATCACGCGCTCCCCAAAAATCCCCAAATTAGAATTAAATACGACGCTGCCGCCTCCGGAACAAAAGTTATTCATTCCATAAAAAGCATTTTCATACATCTCTCTTATGACTCTTCCATTCCTCTCCAGGCCCACTCACTCCTCTCCCGCAGAGAAGTCATTTGATGAAGGAACTTTTCTGATTGTAGCATTCTGCAAACTGTTTTTGTAGAAGGGTTAAATGAGCATATTCCTGAAGGGATGGCCAGTGCCAGAGGAAAGGGCCTCCAGTTTCAACAGTGACAGCAAGGGAGAGGGGATTCCTCCCACTGAGCACGACATCTACTTTGCTGAAGGCAGAGGGAGTCCTGTCATCCCTTCCACTGTGATTTTATCATACTGTTTTCCAAGATGTGCAGATTAGAAATATGTAACTATCTCAACACATGCTTCATATGATTAATTCTTGTTAAAGCTAAGCAAATGCTTAAGGACGTGCATTGCTTCAGGAAGCACTGCTGGATGGGATCTGTGCTTTGATCACAACCAGGCTTTGCACGAATCCAAGAGATTTTCCAGGCACAGCTCAGGAACCTGGGCAGGAATAGAGATGTTGGTGCATGGTCTCACATACGGGAACATCAAACAAGGGGTCCAGGGAGCACGTGGAGCCAGCAGCTTGCTGGAGTGTGCCCTGAGAGCTCATGGATTCAGAACCAGTTGCATGGCTGGGGCAGGTAAGAGCCACTTGGTTTCTTCATGCATTTCCCTATTCCAGCCTGGAGGAGGAACCCCTGCTGTGGAAGCAGTGAAGAAGTAGAAGTCCCTGCCAGCAGCCCAATGCCTGGGATCCAAGTTTAAACTCCTGACTGTCATCACTTCATCAGTCAGACACCTTAACCCCCCCTTGCTGCTTCTCCACTAAGTTGGGCCAGCAAGTTCTCATCACTAAACTCCTCCCAGGTCCAGATCTCGCTCACTTCCCCAGGTGCTTGCTCCAAGTGCCACACTGTCACCTTCCCCAAATTCCCATTGTCCATAAATCAACTGCAGCACTTGCATCTCCTGAAACATTTAACTGGGACAAATGCCACATTAGACTCTGCTGAAGCACTGCTTGGTGAAGACTATAGAGAGCCATAACACCAACCAAAAGTTTTCAAGTGGTAATTAATCAGCTACAATAATAAATAATACATATACTTTCAAGTGTTTACTTATTTCCTGAATGCCTCCCATAAATATCTAACCAATAAAGCATACTTTGAACAGTGGCACTTGTATCTTTTCCCTTCTGAGCTAACTCTGTGCTATTTACTTAAAATAGAAAATTCTGTTTTCCTAGGAGAAAGACAGGTTGAACGGTAACAGAATTTTGGAAGTAGCTTGAGCTTTCAAATTTTCTCTGAACAAAGTATACTTAATACAAGTATTTAAACTTTTCTCGGTCTTACCTTATTTTATGGACAAAGTTTATGCAGCTGTTTCAATCCATTCAGTCAGGTGGGCTGCTGGTCCACAGCTCTCTTCAGCAAGTGTCACATGTGATGCTCACTGGTCAGGCTGCCAGGGCACATGGAGCCTCACAGAAACCAGCACCAAGATAAAATCCTGACCTCAAAAACACAGCCCAAGAAATCTTCACTGAACTACAGGAGCTTTGCTTTTAATGTAGACAGAATTTCTAGTTCAGGCTTTCAAAACTAAGTGCTGTTTAAAAAGTAATAGTCAAGAAATTAGTGCAGCTCTCCCCCGAGAAAAGGAAACCAGGATTGTGAAAACAGCTGGAATGCTCTCCACAGCCTTTAGCATTTGCCTTAAGAGGATGGAAAAGGTCAGTGTCATTTGGCTCTTAGCAAGGTTTTTCAGCCTTTTGTGGAGGGCTGGCCAGTTTGACAGGGTTTAATTTATGACAGTGAATCCCAGAGCCCTGAAGACACCCCAGTAGGGGCAGTCAGGACCAAGAGCTGCTCATCACCACCATCCTCCCAGAGAAGCTCCTGGTTCCATGCTGGCCTCGGTCTCCTCTCCACCACAGCCCAGGAACACTCAGCCATAACCACCCATTCCACCAGGGCTGACCAGACCTTTAAGCTATAAATTTATCAGGAAGGTGCAAAAAACCTACCTTAATATTCCAGCTGGTACCTAATCCCTTCAACTCTCCTGGAGAGGTGCTTTGCATTTCCAAAAAGAACCACCAGTTAATGTTCTTGCCAGTGTAGTTAATCAGAGCAGCAAAGCCTCTTTTCACCGTGCAGGGCCCAGGTGACTGTCTCCAAGGGATTAGTTGTTGCCACATTTAGTTCAGTAAAGGGTTTATCTCAGCCATGTTCATAAAGACAGACTATGAAGACATTCCCTGGCTGAATTCCTGGGGACTGGCACCTTGAGCAGCTGCAGGGCTTGGAGCTCACCCGGGAAAGGCATGGGATGGAAATTAATAAGAGTAGGGAGTTTTTTATCCCTCTCCAGCACAAGAAGCCAGGGTAAGAGAGAGCTCTTTTTGAGGGACAAAGACACTGCCAGCTGCCAGGCAAGGGATGAGAGGAGGGTGAAGGAGCAGGAGGGGTGAAGGAGCCAGGGGCAGGAGAGAGAAGATTTTCAAAGCCCTCCAGGGCAGGCACCAAGTCTCTGTGCTGATGGCCACAGAAGCTGCTGTGAGTGACATGTGGTTGCCAAAATCATGAAATGTATTCCAGAGAGCTTCTGAAAAGTCCACAGGGTGAAACAACTGGACCAGTGCCACCAGCTTTAATCTGGAGCTCAGTGAGGCTCTGCTAAGCCCTCTGAACCAGGAGCAGGACTAAGGGAGGGACTGGTGTCTGCAGTCACCTTGAAGGTTTCAGAGCAGATCACCAGCAAGGCATCCAAGCTCTTCTCAAACCAGCGAGACCTTCCAACTAAGAAGAGGAATCATGTCCTAAAAATCCAGACTATGCACCACTGTTCCCTCTGACACTGATCAAACATTCTGATTCCTAACCTGCTGCCTGCAATGGCTCAGGTTTTCACTAGTGCCAAGGACAAACACTGAAGCTCTGGGACTGCTTCTTAAATTCTTCACCAGAGCAAAGGGAAATTCATATTTTCCCTCTTGCTCATCGAGAAAGCAGGCTGGGCTGGGGCTGGAAAGACTTACAAAGCCCTGGGCACACAAGGGTAAGCAATTCCACTGTGGTGCTGCCTCCACTGCTCCCACAGCTCGCAGGGGGCTCTGCTGGCATCTCACACCAGCTGGTTGAACACTCAGTGCCTGCATCGTGCCAACACTGCTGCCTGAACCCTGGAGAGAGCTCTTCTAACAGCAATGTCAAGTGGGTGAACAAAGAAATATCATAAAACAGGACTGGAAGGAGAATGCCTGAAGATATCAGTGAGCGGGACATCACTGGGCACTTAGAAGAATGACAAAGGCAATTTTCACAAATGGAGAGGTGAAATAAAGGAGAAATGAGAGTGAAGATTGAAAACAATTTCCTACTGTTTGGCATGCTCTAAAATTAGTGCTGTAATAGATCTCATCAGCCAGCATTTATTTTCCATTCTGAAGACAAGAATTCAAATAAGCTGCAGCAAGAGAAGCGCTTGCTTAGCTGAACAGCCGACCTCCAGCACAGGCAGCAGCACAAACCAGGCTGTTCAAACCCAGCTGGATCTTGCTTGGGATTTTCAAAAGTGAAAACTCGAGCTGGAGGCCCACTTTCCTCCATCACATTACAACCAGAAGAGAGGTGACAGAGCCTCTGGAGCAGGAGGGGACAGGCTGCCCATGGCAGATCTGCTCCAGGGATTTGCTGCGTTCATACAACTGTAGGAGACAGCTGAGGGAATCCCAAAGTCACACTGCCTGGAAAGGACCTGAGGGAACAGGTTACACACCCTGTACAATCTGTTACAACAGGAAACTCCTGCTGTTAGCTGTCCTGATGGCTCTGGCTTCTGCTCTCCCCAGGGAAGGGGCTGGGGAGGACTCCTTGCAGGGAGTCCCCAACAACTCCAACATTTTGCTGTGACTGCCCAGGGGCACAGGGCCAGTTCTCCCCCAGCTGAGCTCAAACTCTGTCCCCAGAACCTGCACATGGGCTCCACCAGACCCCAGGTGGAAATGCTGGCACAGAAATGCTGGCACACATCCATACCCCGCTTGCTGCTGTGCTGATCTGCACGTCCTGGGGACCAGGCCCACAAAGTCTGGCACAAACAAACGCTCCGTGGTTTTGAATTCAAAAAGCAAACAGCAAATCTCTGTTAACAGGCCTCATCTTGCTGCTCCCATAGCTACACTCCCTCCTTCAAGCACACACGTACATGTAAAGGTATTTTACACATGGGAGGGACACACAGCAGTGCCTGGGGAGCTCTGGAAAAGCCCCCAGACTCAGCTGGGAGCAGCAATGGAAGCACTGATGTGACATATCCACTGCTCTTTCAAAGTTTAAGAACAAATCCCTGATGGAAGAGGAGAACTGGCAGCATCACTCAGCTATGAGGTGTCAGAGATATTTCAGGCAGCCATTCCTGAAATATATTCTCATGCAGAAACCCAGAAAAAGTCACCCCCTCACTCCCCCAGCTGCCTCTCTTTGCATTACTGCTAACATGGATGTGACTCACTAGAGCTGGGTTTATATTAAACTCCTGAAACAGATTGTTTGGCTGTTATGTAAATCCAGTAAATGTTAAAACACCAGAATAAATCAGTCAGGCAGTTACCACTGCCAGCTCTCCAGAGACATCCAAGGGACTGATTTTTTTAAAAGGTAGAGGTGGTAGGAGAGGAGGGGAAAACAATAACAACAACAATAGATAACAACAGCAACAACAACAATACTAATACTAATATTTAAAAAATCACCAGTCTTTCAGCACTTTTCAGGGAGAGCTGTGCCAGTGGCTACAATGCCCCCACCATACTGATACCAGTGTCCTGCCCAGCCAAATACAGGCAAATCCCCCAATTTCTGCTGTGCACAGGTTATGCTGCATCACCTGCACAGGACACAAACTCTGTGCCAGCAGAAGTGCCTCCTTACCACGCCACCTGAAACAGCAGTCTGACCTCAGGGGAGGCCAGATAGCACTGATGCTGGGGTTGGGACTTCAGACATATCATGTTTTAAAATAAAATAAGCCCGAAATGAGGCATGAACATTGTTCTTCCCATCCTGTCACTGGGAAGGAGGTGCTTCTTTAGGAGCTGCCTCTCTCCCATGGTGCAGAGGGCATTTGCCACTCAGAGGAGTCTCCTGCTCACAGTGACATCAGCAAGCCAGCACAGGAACAGATTTTAAAATTTGCAAACACAAGTGTTTTTACCCGAAACCTGACTCCAGGTTTATAAACAGTCTATGGGCCAAAGGATTAGTCATAAAAATTATCTGGCAAATAATCTGCAAGAATAAGCAAAACCAGAGCATATCACCATCTGCTCATGGGTAATTCCTAAGGCAGAAATGAAGAGCCTTCAAATTAAAGCCTTCACTTTGTATGTAACTGTTGATAACCAGGCCATTGCACTCAAAATGCTCCCACAGCTACACTGGCAACCAGAAAAGGAAGCAGGTAGAAATCTGGACCCAAATGTTCGTTGTAGTACAAAGCATATTGGCTGAGCTGCACTTGCATGGACTACACAGCTCAGACCAAGCCCCAGCTCAGCTTCAAAAGCAGCTGGAGCCTGTGGGTCTCTCCAAATGTGAGCCCCTCTGGGATTTCCACACCACTGGGCACATCTGGACAGGTACAGCTGGGCAGGAGACAGTGACCTGCCCAGCCCATGCACTGGCAGAGCACAAGTTCCAACTGCCCTGGAGAGGAGAGTGCAGAGCAACATCATCACAGCACTGAAATGAAGACATCTCTGAGCTGTGTTTAATTAAACATAGTCTGGGAAAGTCTCTGTTTTTGTTAAACACTGCCTCAAAAGAAAAGGGCTGAGTAATCTACCAATGGGGAAAAACACACTCTTTAGCTACAAGGTGTTATTATTATAGGCTTAATATCAAAATGGCTTGTACAGCTTATTAGGCTGGAGCAAACACTCCCAGCCTTGGCAAGACTGATATTGCAGCTCTGTATTTCACACTTACATAAGCACTCAGGGTTTGTATGAAGAAGAGCCTCCTGTCTGGAGAGGGAAGGCATTGATTTACACCAGGTTTCCGTGGCCCAGTAAAACTGGTCAGACAGACAGCAGAGGAGTTGTGTCTGTACTGGGCACCAGCAGGAACAGGAGCCTGTGCTGCAGCAAGGACAGTGAAAGCAGTGGTGGGAATCCACCTCCCTGACTGGGGCCAGCAGCAACTCCACACACCACAGCACAAGCACAGACCATCAGAAAAACACTGCACAGGTCTCCTGAGCACTAAGGACACTGAGCTCACACCTTGATTAACCCAGGAGTCCTGGCTTTCTCCTTCTGCAGGACAGAGGTGATCATCCACATGCAGGGAAAAGGTTTTGGAGCAGAGGGTTGAGCAGAGCTTAACTTACTGCTTCTGAGCCTGCCCTTGGGGACAGCCCACAGCAGCAGCCAGGGATTGCTGCATGGCTCTGCAGCACTGCGGGGTTGGTGATGCATCGCTGCCTCCAGCACCCGCTCACCTGCCAGCAGGTGCAGCCAGCC